AGGTCCTGGAAACCTACAGGTCCTGGACACGTACAGGTCCTGGACACGTACAGGTCCTGGACACGTACAGGTCATGGAGACGTACAGGTCCTGGAGACGCACAGGTCATGGAGACGTACAGGTCCTGGAAACCTACAGGTCCTGGACACGTACAGGTCCTGGACACGTACAGGTCCTGGACACGTACAGGTCCTGGAGACGTACAGGTCCTGGAGACGTACAGGTCATGGGGACGTACAGGTCATGGGGACGTACAGGTCCTGGAGACGTACAGGTCATGGGGACGTACAGGTCCTGGAGATGTACAGGTCCTGGAGATGTACAGGTCCTGGAGATGTACAGGTCCTGGAGACGTACAGGTCCTGGAGATGTACAGGTCCTGGAAACGTACAGGTCCTGGAGACGTACAGGTCCTGGAGACGTACAGGTCATGGGGACGAACAGGTCCTGGAGAAGTACAGGTCATGGGGATGTACAGGTCCTGGAGATGTACAGGTGCTGGAGATGTACAGGTCCTGGAGATGTACAGGTCCTGGAGACCTACAGGTGCTGGAGATGTACAGGTCCTGGAGATGTACAGGTCCTGGACACGTATAGGTCCTGGAGACGTACAGGTCCTGGACACGTACAGGTCCTGGAGACGTACAGGTCATGGAGACGTATTGTCATGGAGAGATGGGAGGCTGCAGCCCATCACCTTCTCAGCTCAGCACACAACGCTCTGCAGTCTGTGTCTGTCCCTGGCAAATCAGGGGTCTCTGCAGTAGGTTTTGTCCTGTGGGCGGAGACGGCCCAAGTCGTGATTGGTCGGATTGACGGTGGGGTTTGAGGCTGGAGGCAGCGGGGAGTAGCTTGATCGAGTCGGGTAGGAAGTAGCATGTTTTTTAAGATTAATTTTAGTCATAGCTTGGGAAAGGAAAGTGCTAGCTGCATTAAACTTGAACGTCGTACATGTGTTTCACACAACTTTGGTTTTAATACATCACAACGTGGGCGTAGAACCTGGCACACACAACTTTTTTATGCCTACGCACCGTTTACACATCAGGGCCCTGGTCAACAGCYGGTCCACCTCCCTCCTCATCACCATCCAAGATGAGCCCAATGAGGGTGGTGTCGTCTGCAAACTTAATGTTTTATGGAGTCATGGCTGGAGCTGCAACAGTTAGTGTACAGGGAGAAGAGCAGAGGGGAGAGAACACAGCCCTGTGGAGATCCTGTGCTAATAGTTTGTGTGTCCGAGACAACTTTCCCAACTACATGAATTGATTCTGGTCTGTCAGGAAATCTGTGATCCACCTACAGGTGGAGTCTGGTACATGGAGCAAAGACAGCTTGTCCTGGAGCAGAGCAGGAAGGATGGTGGTGTTGAATGCAGAGCTGAAGTCCACAAACAGGATCCTGGCGTAGGTTCCTGGTGAATCCAGATGCTGCAGGATGAAGTGGAGAGCCAGGTTCATCTACAGACCTGTTGGCTCTGTAGGCAAACTGCAGAGGGTCCAAAAGGGGGTTGCAGATGGACTTGAGGTGGGATAAAACCAAACGTTCAAAGGTATATGTTGACATATAAAAGGGAGCAGTGTTAACAACAATAAATTCAAACAATAGTAATTTACAAAAACAAAACTAAACAGAAACAGCATAAAAATATCTTTATATTATATTAAGTTGTGTTCACCATTATTTATATTATATGCTGCTCAAAAATAAAGGGAACACCAACACAATCTAACTACACCACATTCTTGCTCAATTTTTATTTTGTGTCCAGCTTATCCGGTCCWAGCTACTTCACTTTAAGTTTCTCCTCATATATTCTGCTTTGARAAGGTTTAGATATAAGACACTTAAGGTGCTGCTTTCTYCTTCATTTTTCTCGTTTGTTCTCCAAAATCCACTGCCGCCTTATGACGTCGAGTCGTYGACACAGGTGGACCCACCCACTACTGGTGTGTGTTCACAGACCTGCGAACACAGGCCACACTATGCTTTTGCATGGACTTACTGCGCATGTCCAAAATCTTCACAAGTTGTGTATGAGAATCTGGGGCGGCGAACACAGCGTGACCCGGAAGTGACTCAACACAAAAACGCTCATGAGTAAAATGGAAGTTTGCACATCAATATATATAAATTATTTATTTTGCTTATTAGAAAAGACAAATACAATATTTTGTCGGACCATTGATAGCATTTTCTTTTTTTGTTTCATTTCATTTTTGTGTACCAAAAATGAGGGCTGGGGGGGGGAGCGGGGGTGCGCGAATGTGCGCCCCCTATTGACCAGCCGCCCTGAAGTGCCCGAGTGGCAGATTATTAATYAAAAAAACTGAAGGAACTGTGAGCAGAGCTTTAAATGAAACAGTCAGATAAAAATCTGAAYAGCATTTATTTAAAACAACTAAAGCCAGGTAAGGCAGCCTGTAAAATTAAAAGTTSAAGGCAGGACATCATGGAGAGCCAAGTCTTCAGAATAAAAGCAGTCATAGCCAAAGGGGCGGGGGCGTGATCCTCTCCTCCTCCGTACCGCATCCTTTTGCTTCCTCGACTTCCGACGCTCGATCCTCCCTGAGTCCGGCGTTCCTCGGGGTCTTGAACACCGACAATTGATCCTCCTTAAGCCCAGTGTCCTTTGGCGACCTTCAGCGATCGTCAGCGCTCRGTCCTCAGCCTTGACACCAGATCTGGATGACTCCACATGTCCCCCCAACCTTGCACAGTCCGCTGGAGCTGGATCCCCACTCCACATCTCAGCAGCAGCTCTGATCACAGGACCGCCTCGCAGGTCCCCCCATGGGCCGCTGCCACTGCGCTCTCCTCTCCTGCCAGCCAGCATCCTCCGGCTGCTTGTCTCCTGCCCTCCTCCCTGTAATAATCTTCCTTTTTATTTCCCAACTGTGGCTTGCACCTCATCGGCTGATGGAGAACACCTGTGTTGGAATCAGTGGTGTCTCCACCCTTGGTATGCAATCATGGCCTCAAACATAAAGAATAAATCAGAAAACATGAACAACCCAAATGAATCCAAAAAGAAATTCAAGGAAATAAATCCAAAACACCACAATATTAAATAAATGCAAAGCAACATGCAAAACAAAACAAAACATGCAATAGTCAAAGAAACATAAAAAAATAAAAAAGGCCACGTTGTCACACTTATGTTTTTGTRGTTGATGCTGATAAAAGTTCAGAGCTACCACAGACTCTGAAAAAAATGAATGGCACCAGTATGTCTATTCTGACAGATACAGGAGCTTCTGTTGTCTAAGTGACACAAGTTTTGACTAAAACTAGCACCACGTCCAAAACTGAATTCAAATGAAACAAAGATTTATGCTGTCTGCTTCACTAATCCACTCCCAGTCAGAGGAATTTTCAAGTGCTGTGTAGAAAAAAAACACAAGAAGGTAATGAGCACATTCTTTGTGATCAAAGCTTATGGTTTCAATATTCTGAGCTACAAAAYTTCTACAGCACTGGGAGTAATCAATGTGGTCACAGCAGTGTCATCTCAAACACAGTGTTGCACTGTTGCAGATGAGCTGGTGGAAAGTCATCTAGATTTGTTCCAAGGAATTGGAAAATTGAAGGATGTCCAGGTGAAGCTTCACACAAATCCTGAAATTAAACCTTCATGCCAGCCACATCGACGTGCGCCCTTATATGTTTGCAAAAACGGTGGAGGAARAACTTAGGAAACTACATGAGGATGACATATTCAAAGACGTCACTGGTCCCACACCCTGGGTTTCACCGATTGTYACCCCTCCAAAACCCAAAGACCCTGGAAAAGTGAGGATCTGTGTTGCCATGTGTCAGGCTAACCAATCGAAAGACAGCTTCATATTACCCCGACCATGGATGATGTGGTACATGAGTTAAATGGTGCAACAGTGTTTTCAAATCTGGATTTATAAGCTGGATATCATCAGCTGGAGCTACATCCAGACAGCAGGTATATTACCACATTCACCACACACCTTGGTTTGAAACGCTACAAAAGACTGAGTTTCGGTATTTCATCTTCCGCTGAAGTTTTCCGGAATGCTATCTGTCAGACTTTGCTAGGTCTCACTAGTGTAAATAATCTCAGTGATGATATCTTTATCTATGGTGCATCCCAAAGTGAACATGACAATAACCTCAGAGCACTGTTTCAAAGAGTAAAGGAAGGTGGTCTCACACTCAATTGAGAAAAGTGTGAATTCAGTAAGTCCAGATTGGAGTTCTTTGATTTAAATTTTCTGCAGAAGGAGTTTCTGCAGATCCAAAAAATTGCTGCTGTTCATCAAGCTGTAGACCCTAAAACTCCCAGTGAAGTCAAAAGTCTGCTTGGCATGGCCAACTASTGCTCCAGATTCATCCAAGACTTTTCTTCTATCTCTGAGCCTTTATAGCTCACCAGAAAAGACGTCCCTTGGGTATGGGGTCCAGATCAACAGTCAGCTTTTCAAAGTTTGAAAGGCAGTCTCACAAGTGATACCATTATGTCTTATTTCTACCCGAGCCGTGACACAGAATTGCTTGTGGATGCTAGTCCTGTCGGACTAGGTGCCATCTTGGGACAAACAGATGAAAAAGGGGTGAAACACATCATAGCTTATGCCAGCAGATCTCTCAGCGATGTCGAGAGGAKATACTCCCAGACAGAGAAGGAGGCACGTGCTATTGTTTGGAGCTGTGAGCATTTTCACCTATACATACCGTATATGGACATCCTTTTACACTTGTGACAGATCATAAAGCAYGTGAAATCATATGGAACAACCCCTGATCAAAACTGCCAGCCCAGATTGAAAGATGAGGTTTGAGGCTTCAGCCCTACAACTTTAAGGTGGAATTCAGAAAGGGAGTCAACCCGGTTGACTGTATGTCACATCACCCGATTCAATGTCCAACAAACGAGAACACACGTGCTGCRAAAGTAGTAGAAGAATATGTGGACTTCATTGCAGCTCATGCCACACCAAAAGCCATGACACTTGTAGAGATCAAAGCAGAAACCCTTAAAGACTATTCTTCAAGATGTCAGTACTCATATTAGAGACAATACATGGCACAAACTTGAAAAATTACAGCATGAGAAAATCATGAAACATTTTTGATGTGTCAGTAGTGAATTGACAACATCACCAGCATCTGACATCATTCTTTGTGGGGCAAGAATAGTTATTCCTACTAATCTGCAGGACAGAGTTGTCCAGCTTGCCCATGAAGGACATCAGGGCATTGTTAAAACAAAAGCACTGCTCAGATCCAAAGTTTACTTTCCAGACACTGACTGCAAGGCAGAAGCAGCAGTACGCAGATGTCTTGCTTGCCAGGCTGCCACCCCATCTATCCAGAATGAACCACTGAAAGTGACAGCACTTCCTGAAACACCATGGCACAGCGTGAGTGCATATTTTTATGGGCCACTTCCAACTGGAGAATATTTGCTTGTCATTATAGATGAGCACACAAGTTTTCCAGTAGTTGAAATGGTGAGGTCAACATCAGCTCATACAGTCATTCCAGTTTTTGACAAAGTTTTTGCTATGTTTGGGATTCCCAGAGTCGTTAGGACTGATAATGGTCCTCCATTTAACAGTAAGCAGTTCTCCCAATTTGCCGACTATCTAGGTTTCCATCACCACAGGATAACGCCACTAGCCGTGTTTCCATCCAATTTTAATTCAAATTTTGAGCGAATTTTTTTAAATTTAGCAAAAAGGAAAAAACGAAGAAATGTGAATCAGACGTGTTTCCATCAACTGGCTTGAAGTGAATCAGTTACGTCAGACACATGCGTGTAGTAAACAGGAAGTAAAAGTCGCATCTCA